TTATGTACTTTACATAAAATATGCCTTCTACAATATGTCTGCTGTTCCAAAAAGGTCAGACATAAGTTCAACTTTTTCTTCTCCTGTATTCAGTTTACTTTTGACTGATGTGGGTAAAATTCCTAGAAATTCATTTGTTTTTCTATGAAAATACATATATATTGACATGTATTCATTTGCAAAACATAACAAAACAAAAACTTCACATTAAAAATGACAAAAATAATAAAGTTTTTCAATTATATCTAAATATATATTTTATTTAAACAAATGTATAAACCGATCATATATATTTTCATAGGTTGAAGTTACTACATAGACGATATTATTTGTATATTCATATTTATCAATACGAAAAAATATTTCACCAATGAATGTAACAAATAAGTCAAGTAATGAAAAGAAACGATTTCGTACAAATTGTCCATATCGAGAAATAACATTTTTATCTATTAAATCAATTTGTTTTTTAGATTGTCGAGGAAAAAAATATAATAGATAGTGTTGAAGATAAACAAATGGATTTGATCCAAAAACATATTGATAAACATTTGTTAAATTAGATAAATATAAACATACAAGTATAGTAATAGTAAGTAATAAAAAAATCAACCATTGTTTTGAAAGAGTTTTCTTTAAAAGCATGTTGTTCATTAGTTTTTGTAATTGTTTTGATCGATCTTCGTATTCAATTTTTTTTATGCTACTATCGAAACTAATTGATTGTTTTACAAGACTATCATTAACTATATGGTCCTGTTCAGCAATAGACTCGAACTCAGATTTATGTGTTTTTTTTATTCGTTTAATTTGATGATGAAAAATAGTCGACTCTGGTTCAGTGGATAAAATGATTTCTAACTTTGGTAAATTATTTTTATTTATAGGCATATATTGCTTTAATGAAAGTGATCGTTTAGCTCGTACTATTTTCTTTTGTTCCAATGTGTGATTTGTTGTAGCTGCTAATGCTTTCGTCTCAAAAAATGCACTAATATCTTTAAATGTTGTTGGTATGAAGATCTTGTTTTTGTCAAAATCTGTTGATGAAGACGTAGGCTCAATTAAATTTAATAGTTTAAAAATACAAATAAACAAGAAATTTCTTCATTCTTTATACAAAAAAAAAAACAAAAAAAAAATAAAATAAAATGAAGTTAAAATAATTTCTTCATGGAAAAGTAGATGCAGCAAAAACGAGCATCATTTCACGTACTTGATTTAATCTTGGAGTTTTTTGTTGTAAAATTTCATTAACATGTTTATCAAGTGTAAATTCAGTCATATCATAATTCATATTTGTATTTAATGTTCGTTCTTTTCTTTCGATGTCAACATTCATAACTTGATTATAATTTGTATTTGTTGCCACAAATGAATCTTGTAATGTGGATTTAATCGTATATTTATTATGACTATCATTAATTGATTGCTTGTTAGTAACATTTACATCATTTGTTTCTGATAGACTATCAATCATTACTTCATGATCATTTGATTCAACAATTGTTGGGAGAACAATTTGATGTCTATTAACAGTTTGATAAGAATTTTGTTTACGTAATTTTATGGATAGGGAATTAGTTCGATTATTATTTGATAAATTTGAACATGAAATATCCTCATCTTCTTCAGTAAGAATTTCAAGATTTGGTATTGATGATGATGATGAATATGGACGAATAACAGCATGTGGTGAATCATCTCGAGTACGAGCTATTGTTGATGATGACCATGTACAATAATTATGCTTTATTGTGGATGAAGACGAAAGATTACGATGACGAATTAAATTATTACCATTAGTAGTGTTCACTTCAAATCGAGTTTTCCACATTGTGTAACAGTACACAGATTTGAGAAGACAAAAAAAAACAAAGAAAAATAAATAAAGATGACACTATTGAGAATGAACAACAAGAAGCGGGCAAAATGAAACGTTTTTATAAACGAATAATAGAATAAATAATTTTTATTTTGAAAATATAAAAAAAAATAACTAATTTTCTCATTTTTTTGATATCATTGTTTTTTGTTATGAATATACATTTCATCACGTTCGACAATGAAATATGTATTTGTACAGCTTATTCAATAATAGGACTTTGGAATCGTCAAAGATTATTCAGAATGTAATTTTATAAGGGAAATATTTTTTTTCCCATTCATAATTGACCATTTGTTGATAAAATTAGAACAAAAAAACCAAGGTCAAATATTTTTCTTTATTTAGAATCAGTTGTATCCATTGATAAACATACAAAACAAAATCAATATGAAAGATCAGAATCGATACTAATCAATGACATATACAGAAAAAAGAAATGTCAAAATTTTGATTAAAATTAATATTTAACCATTCATTGTACAGTATCAAATTTTTATTTTTGAATCACTTGATAATATAATTGCCACAATTGATGTTAATTTATTCATGACTTTGAGAAATAGTGCTGTCAAATTATTTAGTAAGCTGTATTGGAAAGATAAAAAACGATAATTGACATAACTATCTTCTACTTTTTCATACTCTCTCAACGAAGCTACCATCTAAAAATCAATCCTTTGCAAAGGTCTCTGCTTTTAAAATCGTCAATTTTGTACTACAATGTAAGCTGAATTACTATGTTATCTAACGAGATATTTAGTCAGATCGAAAAAATGTTGTGATTGCTGTTCAAATTCATATTTATTGTTATTTTATCTTTACACGTAAAATAATCAGAACTTTTTATCTGAAAATGATGTCACAGTCCATAATTTTATAAAAAAAAAGAAAAAAGATTTATAATTTATTTGTATTTATATGTGAAAATATAATTAGTTTTAGAAATTTAAAATTGAAAATCTCCAAAACGTAATTGGAAATTTGTACGGCATGAATTCCAATCAGAATTTGTTTTTGAATAAACTGAATTTCACTGAAATTTTTGTTTTGTTAGTTGTGCATAATAAATGTTATTTACTATCACTTATACATTTGATAATTCAATTAATTTGACTTTTGTTTGTGTCTAAGATTTGAATCGATGAACAACCAAATGGAGAAGTGATATGACTGTCCAAGATAATGATATGAGAACACCACCAGCAAATGTATAACTCGAACTATAAAAAATATTAAACATGAATTCATAGAATAGAAACAAAAAAAGAAAGGCGAATAAATACAGAAGATATGTATAGGTATAACGACAATCAGTAACAATGAGAAACCAATTGAAATAAATCGATGGTGTACACACTGTTGTTAAACATAATTGACATGTATATCCAAAGAGTAGCAAACTCGATACGAGAAATTTCGCCACGACTATAGACATGATGGAATCATAATCTTGCTGATAACCAAGAGGTAACCTGTATGATTTCATGTTAGAAACAGAAAAATAAAAACATATATCACTTACCAAGTAAGATCCCATCTGAATATTGATGCACCTAGTCGTCGAGCATAATGAAGAATAAGTATTAAGAAAAATATGACAAGACCAATTTCCCATGGAAGAATTTTATTATAAGCAAGAACAAATATAAAGTGAATAGAAGTAAAAATTATTGTTGATAAATAATGATTACAGAAGAGAGAAGGATTGTTAGAGTGATAATATTGTTTGTATAACAGAATTGAATAGCCAATAAACGAAATCACTAATAGAAACCAGTGTAAAGACGAAATAACAGTTAATGTTAGTTGTAATACCAAATGAAGTAAGACGAGTGATATATGAAGACGTTTTTTCAACATCTACAAATGATATTTAGTTCGATCAAACTTTCTTCAGTGATACATATAACAGAAATTTAATAAAACAGTCAAAAAAAGGTAGACTGAAATATTTTCTATAAAAATGAAGCAAAGAAAATTTCTGATGACAACCCGATTTCATTGTATCAAATTTTTCATTCTCATATCTCGTTCTTTCATATTCTGAAATAATCAAAAATGATTCTTGATTAAAAATTCAACGATGAACTAACTTATTCCATGAATGTGTTTAATTTAAGAGAATTGATGGATATACTATAAAACTTTTGCGGAAATCTATCGAAGACAGAACTTCGTCAAAAAATATGAGGGAACTTTCTGAAGAAATTAAAAGCATTCAACAAGTATACAGAAATTAGATTAGATTGTGAACATTCCCAAAATTCATAATCTCTATAAATGAAAATTTGAAAGAGTCATTTGTCATCCGAAAAAATATTTAGCCTGTTCGGTTAATAAACAATAATACTATGCAAATTTGTATTTTATGGCTAACCAATTCTGATTGTAGATTATATATTAATGACAATGAATTGAATAAGACAGCAATTAGTTCAATAATGATCCATTCAAGATAAATTTTCACTGTATGTGAGCTAATGAATGATGACTACTAATCAAAATGTAGATGTAGATGTATAATTTAGTTGTTATTATTGCGCATAGTCAATATATTCGATAGATCTACAAATACATACTTTATTAATGAAGATTAATAGAAAAAAGACGAGAAAAGCTTACTATCATACTCAGTACAATATTATCATCTGAATTGTTCGTATATATTGATTATATTTTTCTTTTGATATTTTTTACCATTAAACTTAAGAAATCTGAAAAGTAAAAACTATCATCATCATCATCTATTTTATTTGACATTTGGCAACTCTTCTAACAAATGATCGATAGTTTTTGTAGCTAAACGTGTAAAATTGACTAAAATATGAGTATACAACGCATGTGTCTCTATGCTGATAATCGAATAATCCAATGTACTAAGTTGTTGAATGCCATCAGAAGAATAACGAAGCCATCTACTCAGTATTTCATATCTTAATTAAACAGAAATGAACATTATTAATATTAAAAAAAAATGAACATGAAATACCTATTAAATGCAGGTACTTGTTTTTCATGACGAATCATTTTATAACGGCCAACACTATTAGGTGGTCGACTAACACGATAACCTGCATGACGTAATCTAACAAACTGGCATAGAAGCACAGGAATAAAAAAAAGATAACTTACAAACCTGTGATTCATATCTAAAAATGAAACAAATAAAATGAAATATTTTCTTTGTTGTGTTACACTCACCATCATCTTCGAACTAATGTATTTGAAGAAGAAACAATAATTTGATGCATAAATTTAGATAAAATACTTACTCCCCAACCCCAATATAAATTCGACCAACCATTTGCTTTCATGAATTGATGTTTTGTTACAGCAAGAACACCACCGATTAAGTCATTATACATTAAGCTGAAAAGAAAGAAAGATAGATCATTATATTTATTGAAGAGTTCAGTAATGAATTCAGTTGACATTGATATTGGATCAACAATTTCCTTCAAAACTCTGAACTTATTCAAAACAAATGATTTTCAGATTTGAACAATCAATTTCATTGGTTTGTACTACGTTATAAATATAATTCATTGCTGCATTTGATATTTAATAACTCGATACCATCTTACGAATATTTTTCTCTCAAAACCAAGATATTAGATAGATACTTCTCGATGTCTAATAAAAACGTTGAGAACTATTTGAGTGCAAAGATTACAAAATCTAAACTTTCATAAATCGATAGAGTTTGATTTTCTTAGATGAACATCTATACATTCGAATTTGATCAATGAACTATAGAGTGAAATTTAACAAGTGTCGATCCTACTTAGCTGGATAAAACATTGCAGTTAACATCATACATCTGCTAATTGTTCAAAAATTATAATTTAATATGTTTCAGAGTTCTTCGAAATATAACGACATGAATCTACTTCAAATACTCTAGTCTAGATACAAAGATAACTGAATTTTATTTTGGGCTTTTTGATTTTGCTGTAAAAAAAAAAGAAGAAGAACGAAAGTCATTTGCATGTTCAACTTACAAATAGCGTAATTCATCAACTGCCGGTGCTAAATGTCGTGGTCCATGTTTATCACATTCATATACATTATAATCATTTTCAGGTATAAGATCAACATCATGAAACATGAAACAATTGAATACTGGTGCAGATATTTTTGATGCATGATTAAATGCTATATTCATGATCAAACCTTTGTTAAACGTACCATTGCCAAACTATAATTATCAAAAAAAATGTGTTAGTTAATACAAAAAAAAAGAAAATTAGTTAATAATATGAACCGGTTCAACAACAAATATTCGATATGATCGTTTTTGTCGTTGTAAAAATGGGTGAAGATGACGTAAGAGTATTTTAAGTTGATATTCACGATTACGAAATGGAATTATAATAGCAAGATGTTGTCGAGGTATACAGTCACTTGGTGAGTATATTCCACCTAAAAACAAAGACGAAATTTTTTCATCTGAAAATATTTGAGATTTTATGTGTTTGAATTAAGAGTCATCTAGAGTTGTCTATCAGAGCTAAAGAAAAACTCCGTTATAAATAATTTTCGAAAAATGACTAATTATCCATAAATAATTATAAAAGTTCTATAAAAAAAAAATACTTAATAGCAACATGACAGATGGGCATATTCATACGATAAGTTTTTTTTTATTGCTGTACACTTCGTTTATTTTATTATAACTAACACAATGCTTCTGCTTATGACCTACTTTTTCTTTGAGATCGGTAATTCCATCTCTTCTTATAACTGAAAATGAAAACATTTGAAAAGTAAATAGATCTTTATAGAAAATTAATTACATACATCGATATAGAATTATTAAGAACTTTGTGCAATTAAAAATCAGTTCGCATTTCTCTTTAAACAATTATAAACAAGATATATATTAATATTCGTTACACATGCAAAACTAATCAAAACGTTTTCAATATATATTTTAATGTAAAATCAATTATCAGTCTTCGTAGCCTGTCTTAAGTTGTTTAAAAACTTGTATTTGTTGAAAACTATTCAAATAATGGAACTCACATCATCAAGTTTTCATGCTTCTTAACGAGTTTTTCTAGGAATAATTTGAGTGATAAGTTGATCTTAATACATCAGCTTTTGTTGTTTTTATTTGCATCTAATAGAAAGTTTGTATCGAATTACTCAACGATCACAATGTCGTTGTCAAATGTAAGTATTCAAATATTTCAGTATATATTCAGGTTAAAGTGTTGAAGTAAAATATTTAGTTATACAAAAAAAAAAGAGATGCATATAATATTTATAAATATTATATCAAACATTTTCAAAACGTTTCAAGAAATAACATTAACATAAAAATGTATTGAAATATGACATACAGCGTTCTAAATTTATCAAATACATTGATATGTCAGCTGAACACTAGAAAATCTTACTTGTTAAATCTTCT